CTGATCTTGAGATTGTATCTTCCTTGTTGGGTGCCTTTGAGCATATCATATCTTCTTTGTTTGAAGATGATTCTTCTTGTGGTTGATGTTTCTGCTCCTCTTCTTTGTTCAAATGGTGAAGAGATTTCTTCATTTTCTTTTTCGTTCCTTAAACAAGAGAATCTTTCGTATGATGTTGATCATTCAACGATTGAGTATGTTCTTTCAAATGATTGAACCAAAGTTATATGATAGGATCAATATGAGAATGATGATTATTCGGTTTGGATTTTTTCATTTTTAAGCATTTAAATCACCCCGTTCATCTTCTCTTTGAATTCCTTCTTTCTTGATTTTTCCTGAAATTCATGAAGACTTCCATCTATAAATTCAAGAGTTGAATTAGTTTTCCAATCTTTAATTCTAGATATTTGTTAGTGAAACCATTTGTCAGATACTATCTTTATGTTGACACTGCTTGAGATTACTCGAGGCTTTGGATACTTTCCACTTTGTTTCCCTTCTACGGATAGTTCATCAAACTATAACACTTTGCTTTACTTTATTTTCCTTTTTTGAATGGTCAATTTTATCAAACCATAACATCTAGGTTTGCATCTTTAATCGTTTAAGTATTGTGTTTGACTCATTATTAGTTGTCCTTAGTTGTCATCATAGTTGTTCTTAGTTGCCATCATCAAAAGTTGATGTCTTGATTAAAAGTTTATTACTTGTTAAATAAGGTTCCACATGATACGATTTACAGAGCTCTAGTTAGTTAATATAACATATTTATACTCGAATTATAATCCGTAGAGATAGCTAAGGTAAAATGAGAAACCTTAATAAGGACATTATGTGAATGTGTTGTGTAAGTTTGCCTAAAAAGAAGATTGGTGAACAAGTGAAACTTAGGGTGAATAAGAAACCTAAAGGTGAGGTTATACAAAGGTGATATGCTTCTTTTGCAATAGGCTTGATGTATCTTTCGAGATTATGTAAAATCTCTTAAGTATAAATTTGGTTCCTACATCTTGGAAAATTGGTAATTCAAAACATAGGAGAGGAAGTTCTAACGTAGGATGTAGTAAGACATCCCTAGTCTTCCTTTGAGGGTAGGAAGACCCAAAATTAGGGTAAGTTGTGTGGGCAACAAATTAGTTTTTCGTAAATAAAATTTCAACCAGGAAAAAATCCATAGCTCATTGGTTCTTTTGGAAAGGCTAAGTACGAAGATGAGTTCCACTGTTGTATAAAGTAGTTATGCTTCGATCTCTTTAGTTATGTAATTTTACGAGAGCGTAGAATTAATAAAGCAGTGAAAGGATTAGAAACCTTGTAGAGGTGAGTGTACTAAATGAGATAGAGAACTCTTCTGAGATTTAATAATCTCACCCCAATCATTGTTATTTTCAGTTGAGCTGCTGACGTTGAAGAATCAGAAAGAAGAGTCGAAGGCTGGAGACTTTGGTGTTTGATGGATATATTCATTGTGTTTCCTTTTTCTGTTTTAGTTTTGACATCTACTGTATTATTTCCTATGTATTATGTACCTTGATTTAATACATTTTGGATGTCATTTAGATAATGTTGTTTTTTTACCAAATTTTTAATGTTTTACATAGTATGATTCTAGATAGTATTACGTAGGGTGTTGCGCTACACTTTGACCAGGATAATCGGGTAGTGAGATCTTTGGTTGTTTTAGCTAAGGAATTCACTTAAGATTTGTATCTTATCTCACATTATTTCTATTTTTTAGATAACTATATGCATAAGTTGGACTCGTGATTGAAAATTTAACATCAAATATTTGTTTGGATTATATTTACGTTGTACTGAACGACCATATTGTTAAATCGTGTTTCAGTTGGACTTGATTTATTGTAAAACATGAAATTCATGATGTAAAATTTTTATTAGTTTTATTTCGGACTTGAATTTCTAATGTATCCACTATCGAAAATTAAAATTGTAATTATTATTCTAATATATGATTATGGTATTATATTTTTAGGTGTAGAATAATTTCCAATCATCTAAAGAAATAGAGTCATGATCATTTGTGATAAAAATCAGCAAATTTGACAATATAATCATCTACACTTAGATAGAAGAAATGACCATTTACTCCAAAATAGAAGAAATGATCATTTGCCCATAAATAAAGGGAATGATAGTCTTTTTCCAGATAAAATAAATGATCATATGTGTCAAAACCAACAAGTTTAGCCATCTAGACCTCAAGTCTTCAATGATTTATATGTTAAAATAATCAATGTTGATCATATGTTTCTTCTTATTCTTTTATAAGAGATACTTCATCTTTTTTAATTAGTTGAATAATTAATGTATCTGATCTGTATTATATATTAAATATATTAATTATTTAATAAATATTAAAAGGTGAAATATCTCTTATAAAAAAGACTGAAAACACTATATCTCAACGAAAACGAAAATGTGATCATTTTTACACATACACATGTGATCGTTTGTACTCAAAATAAGTAACCACATATTCACTAATGAATAATTGATCAGCTATGCTCGTATAAATAATTGATCACATGTTTCCGGATGACGAAAGACATGTTATATTGTTTCACCAGAAAGAATGTTCTCTCAATAATTACATTATGAACGATTTATTAGTTTGAGGAATAAAGTGACAAAATGAATAATTTGTTTTTGTAATATCCTATTAGATTTACAACGGTTTTATATGAAGCATTGTAAGTATCTTAAAATATTTTAAATTTTATTCATCTTTTTAAAATATCAACTGCATTTTTTAACGAATGTATTTTCTCTCTCTCTCTCTCTGTTTTTTAAAGCTTTTCTTCATAAAAGCATTTTGTAAGGTTAAATCTGATGTAGTATGTTGATAATAAGAGTATAGGAAGGAATTTGTTTTTTTGAGTATTTATTGACAAAAAATTTGAAAAAGATGTTGATGATGGAAAAGATTTTTGCTTCATTGAAAGGAATTTAGTGTTGATGATGAAAAAAACTCAAAAGTTTTCCTATATATCTGAAATATTTAGTTTCTGACATATTGCAATCGTGTTAATCATGTTCTATTGATCATAGGATATGTGTAAATGGAACTTCTATAAACTATGATTTCTTTATATATTTAGTATAAGCCATGGTTTATATATATATATATATATATATATATATATATATATATATATATATATATATATATATATATATATATATATATATATATATATATATATATATATATATATATATATATATATATATATATATATATATATATATATATATATATATATATAACTTATTAGTTGGTTAGTTAATTTGATGATTTCAGATAAGCCTTAAATATCATAGAGGATATGATATTAAAATTTTGGAACATTATGATTGTCTGTGATAAGAAACGATAAGGGTCCACATTTGTTTATATAAAAGAGTACGTGAATGATGAGTTTCTATAATGCTTTATATCATTATATGCATCTCTCAATTTTTCTTTTAACAATTTCATATAAATTTTTTTAAAAAACATTATATTTATCATTTTTAGTATTGAAATATTAATAAAAATATAAAACAAAATCAATTAAAATAATAAAATTCATGTTTGAATGAAATACTTTTATTATAAATTTTAAGATTTCATTTCACTCTTAAACTATTTAAAAAAAAAGTATATTAATCCACAAATTTTATTTGAACCAATCAAAAGTCGATATTATTAAATTTGATGTCAACACTAAAATTAATTTTTAATAGTTATCATTATTTTGTTTACTGATAAAAAATATTTATATTAAATACATTTATTAATAATAAATATATTTTTTGTCAAGTAGTCTAGTAAATAAAATTTACTCTTTAGTAATAAATATTTTATTTGATATTTATAAACAACTATCTATTAAATTGACTTAACATAACAATAATAAATTTTAAGGAAAATTAGACTCATCATCTCTAAGATCAATTAAAATGACAATGACACTTTTTCTATTTTTAAAATATATACTAATCTCTTTTTAAGTCTATTAAAATGACATGACATCCTTTTATTTTTTTTAGTGACAAATAAAACTGTGAGTATATATGACATTTACCTACGAATTTTTTCTATCACTAAAATAATTTGTCAGCATATTTAAAAACTATAAGGGATGTCAGTATCATTTTAATAGATTTGAAAGAGGTGAGTGTAATTTTCCTTAAATTTTAATAAATTTTTGAATAAATTTATTTTGACTTTTTATTTATTTATCATATTTTAATATTTTAAAAATGAATTTTCCTTAAAATAGTAAACATTCACTTTAAACAATTTAAAAAAATCCATATTAGATTCACCCTACTAAATTCTTATAGTTGTTGTGACACAGAGTTACAAGGGCAACATCATAGTGCTTTTTAAGTACTAGTACTAAAAAACTGGCCCACAATATGTCATATAAAATTAGCGGCTGACTAGACTTAAATAGTAAATCTATGAATTTAGCCAAAAAGCAATTCAGCCTACACTAGACACCTAATTTGTTTCCAATCATGTGCTACGATATAAAATTCCAGGCTGAAAATAGCTCAATTTTACTTTCTTTGTCTGTCACCATTATTTTCATAGTATAGGTGACCTATCAATTCTCAAAGACAATTCGAGCCTTGTATCTTATAGCCGGTATAAGGACAAACAATAAGCATTCTTTCCAATTTTTAGTTTTGTCCATTTTTTAATATGAGGGCACCACATTTAGCTGTCTATTGTGGAAATAATAAAGTCTGGTCGATCCTTCATAATTAAGTTATATTCATTCATTCATACATATTTTCATCATAACCTTACCTTACCCTACACCTATTCAAAAGTGTCAATAATCAATATATGCTAGGGTTAGGGTTAGTCACCAAACACCACTAGCTGTAGCTACTTTTTTTTTCTTCTTCTTGTTGATAAGAATTGAGATGAAGAAATAAAGGAAACAAGATTCAGATCTATATTGATAGGGTTTTGGAGAAAGATGAAAAAGAGACAAGTGGTGGTGGTGGTGAAAAGCAATAGTTCGTCTTCAAGAAATGTTGTTAGATATGGAGAGTGTCAGAAGAATCATGCTGCTTCCAGTGGAGGATATGCTGTTGATGGCTGTATGGAGTTCATGGCTAGTTCTGGAGAAGACGCACTTACATGTGCTGCTTGTGCTTGTCATAGGAACTTCCACAAAAGAAAAGTGGAAACTGCAGATTGAGGTTATATATTGATTCCTTCTAATTTATGTGTATTGATTGGATTAATTAACTCATTCATGTATTTTCTTCCATTATTTTTTCTTTCTTTGGGTGTGTTTGTAACTTGTAACTGTTGGTTACGACTGAGACATCGATTGCTTGTAAAAAAAATTAAACTTGTTCTGAATTTATGTTCCACCATTATTATATATGTATCTAAATTCTTATTATTTTTTTCTTCCTATTCTTTGAAAAGCTTGATAATATTTCTTCTTCGTGGAGAATATTTGGTGCTGGATGATAGGCCAGGTGTTTTGTTTTTGGTTTTATTTTATTTTATATATTTGGTTCTAAAATGATAATTCGATTTTAGGCTAAGCAAATGAGACTCCTTTGTCATTTTGCTCTTATAGAAAATTATTGTATGTCAAATAGAGATAAAAATAGGTAAGAGATGAAAAAGACATACACATTATATGTATTTTAACTTTCTTTTTAAATTTTGTCAAAAAAAAAAAACTTTGTTTATAAAAAGAGAGGATTTTATGTCAAAAAGGGTAAGAAACGGAAAAGAAATATATAATACGATAGACGGTATATTTTAACTTTCCTTATTCACGTGAGTGAACCATAAATATACACATGCGCATGAAGTCATCAAATGACATCAATGGCCCAGTCAAATTATTAAAGAAGAAAATTAGAACGTGTTTAACATCATATATATGATGGAAAAAAAAATGGAAGATAAACGAATGGATTTTTTTACTCTTATGCCACCTTTTTGAAATGTAAAATATCAATGTCACACTTCGAAAATAATTGACTAATCTATCACATTTAGATGAATGAATGGATGATAAAAGATTTTCTTCTTTAAAGCTTTGTCCAATAGATAAGCGAGTGGATGAAGGTCAATATTATATGCATGTTCTAGTTTAATGGATGGACAAGTGGGTGAAAGCCACACTTTTTTATTTTCTTATATAGTTTTATAATATAAATTAATTATTTTTTAATTAATTTTAATGATTTTTATAAATCAATTAAAGATAAAAATAATAATTTTATTAATATTGTCGAAATACTAAGATATATCAAACAGTTTAAATTATCTTTTTTTCTATTAAACATGTGTCTGTGTGATAACACTGAAACAAATTACGTATTTGACTCAGATTACATATGTTTATTAGAATATTAGTGTATTTTCTTGTGTTTTATTTCGTTTTTATCTTATTTTCACATACTTTACTTACCTAGAGTCCTTGAAGAAACAAAGTCAAGAGCCCAAGAAATCAAGTTTTTTGGTGAAAATGTGCACATGGCGTTCAACATAGCGGCCACCATAGAAGGCGTCATGACGTGTCTACTTGCAACCACCAGAAAACTTTCACGATTCCACGATCTTCTATATGAGTTTAGACGGCGGACACCATGGCAGGGTTGGCGGGCGCCGTCTTTGTTATTTTTGTCCCGCCCAAAAGGAGTTAGGGATAGTTTTGTAATTCCAAAATTTTCATTTTTTCTATAAATAGACGTTTCTAGTTTCTTTTCAAATCATCCAACTTAGTTTACAACACTAAGCCTAAACTTACCATTTGTAAAAACGATAATTCGTCACATCGGGAGATTATCGCACCGTAGTTGTGATTAGGTTGGAGCCCTTGTACATTTAATCTTGCCACCATTTTCTTTACAAGTCAAAGTTTACTTTCCAGTTTGTACCAAATTCAAGTCTCCGATTTGGAGCAGGTTTATTCATTTTTCGTATTACCTTTATTTTACTTCGCACTTGCCTTATTTTGTTTATTTTCTCGCACGTGCCTTATTTCATTTATTTTCTTGTACTTGCCTTACTTTATTTACTTTCATGTTTTGTCTTTGTCTACTTGTTTATATCCTTGCATACTTTACTCGCCTTTTAAGTTTTATAATCTATTTTAACATGATCAATTTCAACATGTCCATTTCCTTTTCCATGTCAGGCTAAGTGTTTTAAGGTTAGAATGTAAGAATCACCGGTATGATAATAATCTATATATTGTATTTGTAGAAATACTTTAGGGGCTGTTTTGATTTTTAACACAAGTTTTCAGTACTAAATTTCATTGGGTAAGATCGAAAGCCGTCCAATTCTCAAAGTTAAACTTGGTTAGTTTTAACTGTCCAAAGAGGGCGAAAGCACTTTGTCCAGTTAATTAGGAGTTTTTAACACTATTAGAAAACAATTTTGAAACCATCTTCGGACGCATTTATAGGTTTTAAATCTGATTCCTTAAGTGAAAGCCATGGATACCTTTTAAGTTAAACATTCCAAATCAAAATCACTTTTTAACTAAGTCAAGAGTCAAATTTCTTAAAAATAGGTTTACTACTTTAACACAATATGCACCTTTTATAAGTGACAATAGAAGACATTAATTAGAGGATAAACTCGGTTCTGAATACGCGAAAACGATAATTCCCGTTAAATTGATTCTTTTCATAACTAAACAATATTTCCCCATAAGTAGTTCTATTTAAAAACGATCGGAGTATTTTCTAACTGATGTGAATTACATTCGAGCCTGTCTTTTTATTCTGAATTTACATATTTTATTATTATTTCGTTTTACCGTGCACTCTCGAACATTGATTTGATTTGCCTTAAATAAACACCGTAACAATAGAAATCGATAGATAGACATTTGGTCTATGTGGGAACGATAATCTGTTGTATTATTCTGATGCAATTCGTACACTTGCGAAAACCACACATCAAGTTTTTGGCGCCATTTTCAGGGACCAACTTCGTCAAATTTCATGCCCTATTGTTACACAGTCTAGACCAAGGCTTTGTTAGCTGGTAAATGCGAAGAATTCACAGTACCATAAGTTTAGTAGATCCTATAGCGGAGTGAGAACGTTAGGCCCACACACGTCTCTTACTCCATCGAGTTAGGAGAGCAATGGTCGAATATCGTAATCGAAGACCCCTTAAGGAATTTGCCCAACCATCTGATGAGGAACCCAGTTCTAGTATAGTGAACCCAACTATACCTGCTAATAATTTTGAACTGAAACCCTCTTTACTACAATTAGTATAATAAAATTAATCCACAGGCCTCGCTACAGAGATCCGAATCAGCATTTAAAAGTTTTTATCCAATTAGCCGACACCTTTAAAACCAACGATTCTACACCTGAGGCAATTTACTTAAGACTATTCTCTTTCTCCCTCAGAGATAAAGCACGCTCCTGGTTAGATTTCCTTCCATACAACTCCATAACAACCTGGGAAGACATCAGGAGAGTGTTCCTTGCTAGATATTTCCCCCCCAAGTAAGACCGCAGTCCTTCAAAATCAGATCACCAAATTTACTCAAAATCAAGGAGAATAATTTTTTGAGGCAGAGATATAAAGAACTATTAAGAGCTTGTCCACACCATGGCCTAGAATAATGGTTTATCATTCATAACTTCTATATTGGGCTCCATTATAACACTAAGATGACCATCGGTGCTGCCGTCGATGATGCACTAATGAACAAACCCTACCTTGAAGCATGCACTCTCCATTATATTGTTGTTTGGTTCAAGGGTATCTGGTGCTAGACATGGTAGGGTGGATTACGATCCGATCCCCCATAACTACAATTGGGTTAATAAAGGGGTTACACCAATTTATATACCAGAGCCCCATGCTTGAAATCAGAATCACTAACTGGTCACTTTACTATGAGTATGTACGGATAACAGGCTTAATGTGATTGCACCAGAATGAAAAGGATTTATCAGAGATGAAGAGGTAGGCCTAGGAATAGTGGGTTGATGTGGATTAGTTTGTATAGGAATGAAATTTATGACCTTAATCACGGAAAGTGTCACCACGATATACTTAGTTCAAATAGTTAGTACCTATCAATACATCCTAGATTGAACTTAGAAGCCCTTTTTCCCAAATCATTTTTATGTTGTTTTTCTTTCATGAACTATAAAGAGATTTGCTTGAGGATAAGCAAAGGTTTAAGTGTGGGAGGATTTGATAACACTGAAACACACAACATATTTGACTCAAATTACACACGTTTATTAGAATATTAGTGTATTTTCTTGTGTTTTATTTCGTTTTTGTCTTATTTTCAGATACTTTGCTTACCTAGAGCCCTTATTGAAGAAAAAAAGCCAAAAGCCCAAGAAATTAAGTTTTTTTGGTGAAAATGTGCACATGGAGTTCAACATGGCGGCCACCATAGAAGGCGCCATGACGTGTCTGCTTGCAACCACCAGAACTGCCACGATTCCATGATCTCCTACATGAGTTCAGATGGCGGGCTCCTTGGCAGGGATGGCGGGCGCCGTCTTTGTTATTTTTGTCCCGCCCAAAAGGATTTGGGGGGTAGTTTTGTAATTCCAAGGTTTTCATTTTTTCTATAAATAGACGCTTCTAGTTTCTTTTTAAATCATCTAACTTAGTTTACAACACTAAGCCTAAACTCACCATTTGTAAAAGCGATAATTCATCACATCAGGGGATTATTGCACTATAGTTGTGATTAGGTTGGAAAACTTGTTCATTTAATCTTGCCACCACTTTCTTTACAATTCAAAGTTTACTTTACAGTTTGTAATAGATTCAAGTCTCCGATTTGGAGTAAGTTTTATTCAGTTTTCGAATTACCTTTATTTTACTTTGCACTTGCCTTATTTTGTTTATTTTCTCACTGTTGTACCTCAAAATTTATCTCTCTTTTCTCAAGATATGTCTCACAAGATCTTCAATAGCTCAAGCTTGCACAAGTATTGATTAGGTCAAGCCATCTCCTCAACACTGATACCTCAAAATTAGGGTTTGAGCTTGCACAAGGACAGTTGGACTTCTGATACTTCAAATGACTTTCATGGGTCATTATGGACCTTCAAGAATTCTCATGTCAAGTTTCAAGTCTTGTATCACAAATTCTTCTCAGTCAATTGACCAGATGACCAAAAATCAGCTGTATTGATGAAAAGTCAACCGATGCACAAAAAGTCAAAC